AGGTAATAAGAATGTTGTTAGAGAAGTTTTCCAGACACTCCAAAAGTTCCAAGCTCACTCTGGGATGTACTTCAATCCAGAAAAGTGTCAAATGGTCTTTTATAAACATGCCTCCTCTACTCATAAATAATGGGCATCTGAATACACTGGCTTTTCAATCTCTCAACTCCCAATTAAGTACCTAGGGGTGCTTCTTATCACTGGCAGAACCAGACAAATCGAGTTTGAAGAGGTTTTGAACAAAATTTCAAGTCTTCTTAATGGGTGGACACATACTTTCTTATCCAATGGGAGAAGAATTACTTTGTTAAAGAGCATTCTTACTACCTTCCCTTCTTATATACTACAAATGACTACTCTTAAGAAAAGCACACAAACCCAACTGGAAAGAATCCTCAACAAATTTTTGTGGTTTGGCTAAAGACAACAAATGCACTAGGCTTCTTGGAAAAAAGTTGCCAAACCTCAAATTGCTGGGGGCATTGGCTTTAAGGACCTTGATCAACTCCTTCAAATAAACTTTTGTAAACTCTGGATCAAGTTTATAACTCAAACCTCTCTGTGGGAAAAATTTATGTGGGGCAAATATTACAAAGATCAGCATCCCACACTGGTTCTCAGAAAAACTGGGGATTCTAAAATTTTGGTGAAAATGCTGAAAATCAGTCATATTGCTGAAAACACTTACAGTTGGGGCTTGGGTAAAGGTGATATTATGTTTTATCTTGATAATTGGTGTCTAAAAGATTGGCTATCCCCTATTGCCTATAATATTGATTTGAAAGTAGCTGATTGCTGGGATGGTGATGAGTGGTCTCTAATTAAGCTATCCAATATTCTGCAACCTCATTCTATCACCAAAGTGGTTAGTATAAAGTTTAATAGAAGCATAGCTGATAAAGTTTTGTGGTACACAACTTCTCATCAAAGTCTAGCCAAATTCATCTACTCCAAAAGTTTATGTTTGGAGCAAATACCTTGGGGAGACACTATTTGGAACAAATTCCTACCCTTCTATGCCCCTTCTATGTCTTTTCTCTGTTGGAGAATTTTCCATAAGATGATTCCTACTGATGACATTCTCAAGTTAAAGGGATTGAGGGGTCCTTCTAAATGTTGGTTATGTAAGAATAAGAGGAATCTATGATTCACTTATTCTTTGAATGTAACTTTGCTCAACAGGTATGGAAACAACTACTAAATCAATTGATTATTGATGAGAAAGTCTTACTTGGGATAGGCTTGCAATTGCTGGCAGAAAATATGCTACTATTCCTTTCATTACTGCTTGATTCATTTGGATGGAAAGAAACAATGTAAAGTTTGAAAATGCCATCCCAAATGTTGGGAAAACTGCTAGAAACAGTTTATCTTACCTTCATAAGATGATCAAATTGAAAAGATTCCCTAATGTCTCTAAATCCTGCTCTTCTAACAAGAGAGACCCTATTCAAGTAATTAGAGTTTACTGGGAAACTCCACAACATCCCACAGTGAAGATCAATACTGATGGAAGCTTTACAAAAAATGGAGCTGGAGTGGGAGGAATTTATAGAAATTATTTGGGTAAGTGTCTTTTGTACTTCTACACCTCAATAATGGCCTCTGATGTCACTGAGACTGAACTTATTGCTGTGTATTGGGCAATTAACCTTGCCAATAAGGCTAATTGGTATAAGCTTTGGCTGGAGGTGGATTCAGCTGCAGTTATTCACATTCTAAATCATGAGGAGGGTTCTCCTTGGCACTACTTATATTGGATAAATAAAATTAGAGATCTTAGTAGTAAGTTACAAATCCATTTCACATTCATCTACAGGGAAGGAAATCAACCTGCAAATTGGCTGGCCCAGCTTGGGTCACATTCTAAAGAGACTGATGTTGCTGTAAACCCCCCCTCAGCTCTTCAATATCTGCTGCAAGGAGACATCCTGGAGGTTCCCCACTTCAGAATTGCATATTTGGACACATGTATCTTTGGTGTAGCTGTATTGAGTATCTTTGGTGTAGCTGTATTTTTATCCTTTTTTTCTTTCCTTTTGTTGAGTCATTGTATTTTTCCTCCTTTTGGTGGGTGTTTTTTGGTCTTTTGGTGGAGTTCTTGGGTCCTTGTATTGAACCAAAAAAGAGTCCCTAGTTTCTTACCTGCATTATGTATTTGCATATTATTCTAACATGTAGGGAGTGAATAGCAACTCCTTCACCCAAATATATATATATATATACATATATGTATTAAATTAAATCCACATTCCGACGACCGACATCCATTTTAAAAATAATACTTCGTTGAAACATTTTCACATAGGACTATTTTTCATGTATATAAACACAAAACAAAAACTTTTTATGTAAAATGAGTGTCCAATCATCATAAAACTAGTTTGCATACTTCTTTTATTTGAAAATGAACATCATACAACTTATAAAATGAAATATTGATCACTGGATTGGTATATGAATAAAATTAAAACTTTATGGTTATTGAAACTCTATTTACAAATGAAAACTCGAAGTTAAAAGTTTTACATAAAAATTATATTCTATAATCATAAACTTATTTGCATGGTCTTCATATGTGATGATAAACAACTTATAAATTTCAAAACGAAGTTTTAAATTCTACAATGATTTGTGGAGAAATAATAATTTTGGTGTGCGTCTTGATTTTAGCTGATTTTTAGTTCAATGTTTGGCTTCATTTGAATTTGGTTATTTTGTTTCTATTTTAGTTGAAGCTTCGAGAAACTAACTAAGGTCACTTGAATCTTTTGAAGTTTTTTAATCCCTACTTTTATTTGAAATTGAAATATTAATATTAGAATTTTTTGGCGGTCAGATCAAGAATCAATTAAGAAAATAACAATTTATTTATGCCTATAAACTAATCATTGATCTTCAGACTTGAGAGCTGTTTCGTAGTAGGATTTGAGCATAATTTATGCCAAATTTAACCTAAATGTTTTCAAAAAAATGACAACTTTAAATCCCACATAATCCTAAGGCCCAGTTCTCCTTTGCTTTGCCTTAAATCTTTGACTTATTAAATTTGATTTTTAGGCCGATTTACCGTTTACATGATTTAGACGAACAATCAAACATAATAAACCCGATTGTTAGACTGAGTTATTGTTTACATGATTTAGTGCACAAAGAAGGGTGGAAGAAAGACTGATTTTTTTTCTTCATTTTTTTATTCTTGGAAAGTTTCAGGATGGGGCATAGGGACTGATGGTTTTCATTTTCTTTTTAAAAATATCTAGCATGTTGATTACTTATGAAGTATTCAGGAATTTAATGGGAGTTAGAGGGCATTCAAATTTTAATATCAATAATAATTATTTTATTACTTAATTTATTTAAATAAAATATTAATTTAAAATTCATGAACTTATAATTAATAAATAATTGGAATATTATTTTTTAATTTGCAACAAAATTTTTTTCTAGGTAGGATAAGCACTAAAATGAGATTTTTCACTTTGTATCCAACAAATATGCTATACATTCGAGCATCACCAATAAAATTTAATTTGATTATATAAAATTATTAATATACAATCGAATACTCTCTCTCTCTCTCTCTCTCTCTCTATCTCTATATATATATATATATATATATATATATATATATATATAGAGAGAGAGAGAGAGACACACACACACATACATTTAATAAATTTGATTTTTAGGCCGATTTACCGTTTACATGATTTAGACGAACAATCGAACATAATAAACCCGATTGTTAGGCTGCGTTATTGTTCACATGATTTAGACGAACTAAAGTGCAAGAAAGACATATTTTTTTCTTCATTTTTTTAATCTTGGAAAGTTTCAGGATGGGGCATAGAGACTGATGGTTTTCTTTTTCTTTTTCAAAATATCTAGCATGTTGATTACTTATGGAGTATTAAAAAATTTAATGGGAGTTAGAGGGCATTCAAATTTTAATATCAATAATAATTATTGTATTACTTAATTTATTTAAATAAAATTATTAATTTAAAATTTATAAACTATTAATTAATAAATAATTGGAATATTATTTTTTAATTTGCAACAAATTTTTTTTCTAGGTAGGATAAGCACTGAAATTAGATTTTTCACTTTGTATCTAACAAATATGCTATACATTTGAGCATCACCAATAAAATTTAATTTGATTATATAAAATTATTAATATACAATCGAATACTCTCTCTCTCTCTATATATATATTTAGAGAGAGAGAGAGAGATTTTCTTTTGTATCTTAAGTTAACTCAAATTATTTTCTACTTTAATTTAATTTCTTAAAACAATTAAAACTATTATTAAAATTTTCATATAAAATTATTCATTAATAACTAGTTGAGATAATTAATTAGGATTTAATTGAATAAGCAATAATGTAAATATAATAAATGCCATAATTATGTAAATCCTTATATACTAAAATAAGTTGCAGATACTTTATCTAAATTTTGCTAAATTTAAAATCCATCATATCAAAAATTTTCATGACCCATATAAGATTTATTAAATCCCCTTTCAGTTAAATCCTACTTTTATTTAGCTTAATAAATTATTAATTAAATATTATTTTAAATATCATCTTAAGCAAATTTTTATTTATTTACAACAGCAACAGTAACAACAAAATCTTAATCCCCCTACGTGGGGGCAATGTTATGATTTTATTTCTACAAATTTTATGCTAGCTGTTGACAAATAAATTATTATTTAATTAGTTTAATTAAAATTGAAATCTACTAAATAAATATAATATGACATAGAATTCTTATATTTTTTATTTTAATCTTATTTAACTTAACTAATTTATATCTCAAATAACTGTCTGAGCAGTTTCTTAATATTTAGTCAAATTTCTCTTCTATTATATTAAATATTCAATTAACTTAAATTTTAATTATATCAAATAATTTTTTTTAGAGTATAACTGCTCATTTATTAAATTCAAATTTACGTGATGCATCAAATCCCATCCGCATCAATAATTTCTTCGATGCTTCGGCTTGCACGCATCTTCTGCCTTCTCTGGCTCCTAGTTTACCAAGCACAAGCAGTCAGCCACCTCTACTGAAAATGAAAATCGTGAATACCAGCCGGCGAAAAGACGGCCCATATCACTTTATCCCCGCTCTCTCCACTCTCTCAAGTCTCAATCCATGTCAATATCGTTTCATTGAACTCCCATAGGCCACAGGGCGGCGCTCAAATAGAGTGAAATCCTCTCATTGCTTCGAAATCGAAAGCCATGGTCGCTCCGGGGTGTCTTCCTCTCTCGCCATCTCTTGGTTCTTGTGACTTTTCGAATCAATACCACAAATCTGCGTTCTTCCTTTTCTCCTTCCATCGCCAGCAGCTTTTCCGCACCTCGAGGCCATCTAGGCAGCCCAGACTCTTCACCAACCTTCATCGAACCCCGCAGCGGCGCTGCTGTTGTCGAGGAGTAGCCCGTGCTGCCTATGTATCTGCTCCGGCCTCCGAATACAACGCCGGCTCGGAAAATGGCTCCGGCCGCACCGGGGAAGTCGTTTCAGCGGCGACTATTCCGTCGGTTCTGCCGGTTAGCTGGGCTGTCATCTGGCCGCTCCTGTCACAGCACAAACTGAGAATTGTTGTGTCGCTAGCTTCACTCGTGGTTTGCACCTCATGCACTCTTGCTATGCCCCTTTTTTCTGGTATGGCTTAAACTAATCCGGTGGTATATAATCTAGAAAACAATATTTTGCTTTTCGAAAGCCATTTCTTGATTCGTTGGAGCGTTTTGATTCTGATATCCTTGCTCCTGCTGTGTTGTATCTAGTTTTATACTGCGAGTCTTTGTGTCCCTGCTTGCTTTTTCAAGAATTATTATTGCATCCATTTAAAGCTTTCAAGCAGAATAGAGAACTGTTATATATCTACATGGTTTGCACGTGAAATTATTCACTGGACAGTAATTTTCATTTTAAGCATTTTGGCTAACTGATATCTTGACTTTGCAAATGATCCACCAGACATTCAAGTCCTGGAAGCCGCATCTGGTACAAACATTAAAAATAAAGGAGTACACAAACTATAAAGATATGGACATTTTGTGGTTTGACTTCAATTAAGCTTCCATGAATGAACTTTCTGTGGCCTTTCTCAAATCCTAAGTACACAATGCTCAAAATAAAGAAGAAACCCAAGAAATTTTCAGCAGAAAGTTTGGCATACGGATGTTCTTTCTCAGATGCATGAAGCCATCAAATTCTCGACCAAATTATAGATGCCGAAATGACATGTCAAGTGGAAACAAGAGAGATGTCAAGTTCCAAGACTACAGAAAAATCTTTTTTTTTTTTTTTTTTATTACTTTTATAGCCAGGGTCCTTATCTTTCACCTTTCAAGGAAGCAAACTACCACATTCTCCAATTCTTGAGATTTGGAATCTTGATTCATTGCAAACAATGATGAAAACTTTCATATGGATTTGGCATTAAAGCCTTGGGAATCATGCAATTTTTTGTTTTTTTTTCTCTGAACACAAAACAATGGGATTTTTTAGTCTCTATTTAGTTCTCAATCATAATAGCATGATACAATTCTGATCAAAATAACAAATATTATAGGGTTTGTCCTTCTTTATATTTTGAGTCAAGTAAATAAATCTCCCACTTCATTCAATATTATGATGACATATGGATCCTCTTAGTGACATCTCATTTTTAAGTTGAGCACCCTTTGCTTTCAATACATAGGAGGAATCAATGCATCTATGTCTTGTCAGGTCTAGATGATGTCCGAGTTGAATGCTTGCGAGGGACTTTTGAAGAACAAATATTGCATGCTATAGTGATCCATGAAACTTAAAGTGTTCCTATCACGTTATTTTTATACCTGTAATGTACATGTCTTCTGAGTTTGAATATTACAAGCCTGCTAGTATAATTTAACATTATGACAGGCTATAATGCAAAAAGATGATCCACCAAATACTCTCCCACAATTTTTCCATCACCTCATGTCTCACTGTGCTGCTAATTGTTTTTTTTTGTAATTAGGTTGCTCGCTTTATGCTTTCTCAGTTTGAGATGCTCCAATGTCGGTTATAAATAATTGAAGCATCTTCCATGGTTTCACCCTACAACTTATAGCGTCCTCTAACCCTAGTGGTTTTCATTTTTTATTTCGGGAAGTTGAGCCTTAATGAAAATTATATTATAAATTAGTGGTTAGTGGTCAGAGTATGTTTTGAACTTGGCTCTCCTAGTTGGAGAGACAGTTCTCTATCAAGTCCTCCACAAGCCCTGCACATCTAACTTTTAGGGCTTTCTTGACAAAAATTTATTGGCAAAATGTCTGCATTTTGCATCAATAAGAGCACTCAAAGCTATATAATCTTTTTTTATATCAAGTACATACTTAGCTCTACTCGATGTCATAGTTATGCCATCATTATCTTAATTTCACAATGTTGAGATCAATAATCTTATACACAACATGTTTCCTATGTACACACAACCATCATAAGGCTTATAACGAGAAAATAATACCACATGTAGATACATATGAAATGAACATATTAGGTAAAAAACTCAATGAACATTTCTCCTAAAATCTATGGTTTCAAAAAGAGTATCACTAAAATCACAGTCACACCGATTTGTCGTTGTAGCATTCATTTACGTCTTTTCTTGATGACCATCAATGCTTTTTGTTTTTTTCTTTTTTAAATAATTACAATCCCCCTTTATATTCTTTTGCTTCTTGTGATACAAGTGTTTTTGCTTAATAAATAACTTCTTACCTTTTCTTCTTCAACATCATCAATCTTGGAGAACATCTTTTGAAAAATGTGACGTGAAATTTTCACATCTCTTATAACAAAGTTGAAATTTCAAATCATTAAAGTTTGTCGCCTTTCTTCAATATAATAACATCACCAAAGTTCTTGTAATAGGGAGACAAAGACCACAAAAATAACAAAACTTGTTTCTATCATCAATATGACATCAATTAAATCATAAATAACATAATGAAAGTGACTTAAATATGGCTTGATAGGTATATATTCCTACATCGCATGCAAATAAGGCCTTTTCTTTTGACACTGTTTGTTGGACAGGCTTTGATCGAGTACAAGGACTTCAAATTGTACTATAATGGTAGCATGAGGAAACTTATTTCCTCCATAGCCTCCTTAAACACCTTGTTCATCAAGCATAATTGGATTATTGAAAGATTTTTTTTCATTACCTCTACTTTGAATTCTTCACACATTTCTCTAGCATAGTTGGACTGTATGATTGCTTTTACAAGTTCACATTGAATTAGAAAACCACAAATCTTGGTTCTCCAAAGAGTAAAACTCTTCTACTTGTAAAATTTCTTATTTTTAAAATTCATGGTATTTGATTTGAGAATTATTCTTTGATACTAAATTGTCTAAACGAGAATGCTAAAATTTCAATATGAATGAGTCATTTGGTGTGAAGTACTGTTTGCCAAGAAAAAGAAAGATTGACACAAAAAAAGTTTGAGATGCCAAGTTCCAAATACTAGAGAAAACTCTTTTCTTATAGATCTATTCACCTCACCCAGTACATTTGCCAAATGTGTAAACCACATTCACCTTTAGGTCAAATTCATGAGGTCGGAAATCCCAATTTATGTAGAGAGTTCTTGGCATAACTTTTTGTATAAATCATGCTCCAATCAAAGTGCAATCATGTGATTTCCAATCCAATTTATGTTCTTAGTAGCTGATTAGATCCTCTTAATTCCAATTTAGATCTCGATTTTTGCCATACAATATTGTGTTTTATACTTACCAATGGCACGTATAGTTTGTGTCATAACTCGTACAGTAACACATCTTTTGCATTATTTATGACAACTAATAACAAAGGAAAATGACAGAGGTTATATGCGCTCTAATCCATTGTGCACAATGCACAAGGTATGTGTTTTATTTTTTTTATTTATTGATTTATTTAAATGACTAATAGGAATAAGAAAACTTTGATGGAGTTTAAGCATACCATAATTAGAATTTTTTCGTTCTTAAGTTCAGTTTTCATGCAAATGCAATTGATCTATAATCTAATTGAAGCAATATAGCAGTTTTGTAGGAGGCACGGATCTTTATCCTCCTTCACATTTATGGTTTTAGCCTATATTTTTAGTGTTGTATGATAATTTGCTAGATAGAGCTTATGGAATTTCTATACAACTATCTATGCTAAGAGGAACAATGTTTATTTTGTTGTTATTTCATTGGTTAGCTTCTCCTCAGACTGCTATGACTTAAATTTTCTTATATGGTATATTATTTTATTCTTTGGCTTGTGGCTATGAGTACCACAAAAGCACCATAGAAAGCTTAAATTTAGTCAGATAAAATGGATAAACTATGATATCCTTTTCAGTGGCTCATAATATGCTCATGTTTTGATTAATTATAATCATTAAAGGGCCCGATATTTATCATCACCACTTTCTTTTCCCTTCTAATCTCCATTCATTATTTAATTTTTGCTCCATCCTTTATCATTTTCTATTAAAACTAAACTCTTGAATACATAACTAAGGGTTTGGATGAACGGGGTCTTTTAAAGATTGAGTTGTTGATAAAAAATATTTGAGACAAGATTGAAGATTTCAATTACATTATTTAGGTCAAGGATTGATGGTTAGTCCCATCGATCTCAAGTTGGTTGTAACTATTTCAAAAACTAGTGCCTGACCTCTCTTTTCTCATAACTTGTTATTTTTCACGTAATGTGTATAATGTTATAAACTCCTTTGATACTATTGATAATTTTATGTGATACTAGTAAATTCTTGTGGGCTTTTGGTGCATATATTTAATATTAAATCAATATTAAGTTCTAGGGCATACCCGTCCTACTATATGTAGTCAAATATAACACTAACATATTTGATAAATGTGTTCGTAAGTTATTTAGAGTGATGCTGCAAATATGCTGTTGTCACTATAAGTTTGCATTTAGAAAATTGAGGTGTATGCGTCATCAATACTAAAAAATCGTATTAAAGTTGATTTCGTAAATTGTTTTTAGGAATTGAAGCAAGTTAAGTTGCAAAACTAGTTTCATAATCAGAATGCTCCACCTCTTCTGCTTATATCATGCGAATGCATTGAATATTTGACTGCCACTTGCTAAAATTTCAGGACTCAACCGCTTTGAAAAGTTTGTTGTATTAAGCTAGAGTTTTAATGATGATAAAAAAAATTAGCAATATGGTTTAGTTTAGAATTGGTGTCTTTCATTACAATACACATGGTAAGTTATTTCATTAGGAGCTTATATTTAATGTAGTTATTGGTTTTTCTTACTAGGATGAGGAACTTAACGTTGAACTTTGATTCTATCTATTACACCTTCCCAACTCTTCCACATGGCTTAGGTAGGTTATCTCTAATGTCAACTTGTCATATTTATACTGTGAAAAAAACTCTATATATTATAAAAAGAGGCACTGAAAGTAACTACAATGCTATTCCATTTATTTTTAAGCTCCCATTTTTTTCTTGTTTACAGTAGGCATTTTTTTCTTTTCTGCTTTTGAGGTTCGAAGATGGATAAATATTCAAGAAATACCAATCATTTCGTTTTCAAAAGCTACAATAATGCGCTTGTTGAACTTTAGCAAACCTTGAAATGGCTATGTACACAAATAAAACATGTAAAAAGTATAATCAAGAGGTTATTTCCTTCTGTAAGTTTATTTTAAAATTTCTGGATGTTATGTTCACCATATGTGCTTCCCAGCTAAAAAGTAGAGCAACGTGATACATATGACACTGAAATATACCAAAAACTGAATTGTTTATAGTATTCTTTTATTTTTGTTTCTTTTCTGTGGATGTAATTGTATTGACCTTTTCTTTCTAATCGCTGCTATATGTTTTTAACATAAAGTATCTTCAACTTGTCCTTTTTGTGTTTATCTTATATATAATTCTACTCAGCGAGCTCCAGATGCAATATTTCTTTGTTAGTGACTTGTTTTTGTGGTGAATTTTTGCAGGAAAGTTCTATGAAGTGCTCATTGGGCGAGGGACTGGGAGCTTTTGGAACCTTATCTTTCGGATTGGTGCTTTGTATGTTTTGGAACCAATTTTTACTGTTGTGTTTGTTATAAACATGACAATTATGTGGGAAAAGGTGATGGCAAGCTTGCGGGGTCAAATCTTTAAAAGAATGTTGATCCAAAAGGTAGATGGGAGTCAACATTGCTGCAGTAGTTTTTCTGGCAAACTCATGTTTTAGTAGATCTTACGTGCTTGAACTTTTTTCCATCGAGCTTTTAGTCCATATGTATATTTCTTTCTTCTCCAGCTCATAAATTGATTTTTGCATCCATCTTTTTTTAATAAAAAACTATACATACATACATACATACATACATATATAGATACATATATATATATACATATATATATAGATACATATATATACATATATTTTTTTTTTCATTTGGATTGCTTTCAATCCTATATATAGACATACATATATATGTATATATATATATGTATATATATAATATACATATACATATATATATATGTATATGTATCTATATATATACATCTATATATGTATATATATATGTATATATATATTTCTATATGCATGTTGGGTTAGAGGATTTGCATCCCTCTTTTGTAATTATTTTTGAGGAGCAATAAAATTCCCTACAGGTTCTGTAAAATATATAATAAAATTCCCTATATATATTAGACGAGCTTGGACATCCCTAGGTGTGCTAAATATTCGAGTACCACACCCTCTACATGGGGGGATTCGAGCCTGTGACTTGAGAGGAATTGCAATCTTCAGAGAGGCTGCTCTACCGGAACGTGCACATATATAGATATACATACATTCATATATCTATATAGATATGCATACATACATTCATATATATACATACATACATACATACATACATACATACATATATATATACATATACATACATATATATACATACATACATATATATACATACATACATATATATACATACATACATATATATACATACATACATATATATACATACATACATATA